CCCGCGGTCCCCGCCCCGCCCCACCCCGGGCGTCGTGCAGGCGACGAGGCCGTCAGTCGGGTGGCCTGGCCGGCTGCGACTGCTTTTCGCAAGGTCCCGGCTGCCGGGGCTGAAGAGAGGTCCTCTTCTGTGGACGGCGCCGGGACTGGAGCGCGGCCTCTTCCTTGGCGAGACCAGCTCGCTCGCAGACCTGAGCGCCGCGGCGGTTCCTGCAGCCCTCAGGCTCTGCCCCTTGGAGAGCGCGGCTGTCTGCCTGTCTGTCGTCGTGACTCGTGAGCGGTCCCCCTGCGCGCTCCGCCGCTCAAGAGGGGGCAGATTGGCGAGGGAAGAGCACCAGAGACGCGTCTCCTCGCTCTCTCGCTCTCTCGCGCTCTCTCTGCCGCTCGGGACTCTCCGGCCGTTCTCAGAATCACAGCCTGCTGAGCCTGGAGGCCCTTTCGCGCGTGATGATGGAGGGTCTCCCCGGGGCCCGCCTGCCTGGAGGTCCCCTCGCAGTGCCTCCTCCTCCTCGGAAGGAAGGAAGGAATGGGTTGGCATGCCGGAGGAGAGGCGGCTCTCGCGGGGGCGGCGGGGGGGGGGGCCGCTACGGGTTGGGAGGGATTCCCCGGACTCCGCGTGGGGGGCCGACTTGGATGTTGGTCTCCGCCACAGAAGGGAGAGGCAGCTCTGGGAAAGAGGGTGGAAACATGCCCAGGAGACACTCCTCAAGCTGCATGACTTCCAACTGGAGATCTGTTATGTAACTTTGTCACACTGAGAACGGTCGGGACGGGTAATGTGACATTGTAACCTTGATTTACAGGGGCTCTCCTGATGGTGGCCTTTTGAGAGCTTGAGAACTTTGCCTGTGACACTGTAACTCTGGCTTGGCGCTTTTGACTTTATATGAGATACTTTTGGAGTTGGTGTGAAAAAACGTTGATAACTGAATATCTATTAAGACTAGACACACGTTTGGTATTTCAAAGAGATTCTTTTAAAGGCATTGATAGAAGACCTGTTAACAGCATTCACCAGTGTTCATTTGTTTTTGATAATTGGCACGCTGTGGCTTTTCCCCTTGTTTTGTACTCTTACGTAAATGTAAAGGTAGTTATCTTTAGGAAATGTCGGAAACGGCATGGAAACCTAGCTGTAATTATTCTGTATATGTTTGTACATATACTTATTCGCAGGTTTGTCGGGTCATCACATGTGAGGAATCTTGACACTGGCCTTTTTGGCAGTTCTGATGCAGACGTGTTCGTCAGGGTCCCACCCAAAGAGTAACTCAGAAGGTTACCAGAGCTCAGGGCCTCCCCCCCTTTTTTTAAAAGAGAGAGGTGCCGAAACTCTCAAGACAGAAATGAAGTTTTCATTCTCTGTACTCATGAACTTTTAAACATTTTAAAAAGAATTTTGTTGAAGAAGTTCCGGAACTCCATTCTGACACATTCCCCCAGAAAACAGGCCCTGCTGGCGCTTCCCCCCTCCTCAAGTAAACAGCCATATAGACTGATTCATAGCAAGTTCATGATAGAATTTCTCATTGTCAAGTGGTCACTGCAAGAGTAACATAGCCTGAGACAGCTGCAAATGTGAGTGGCTGCCTGTATCTCAGAGACCTTCACACCTGTTTTGAAACCCCTCCCGTAGGACTTTAAGGTCGCTTATCTTCTCTTGTCTTCCTGCATTCCTCCCTGCTGCCACCATCGCCTAGTTCTGGTATTCTTGTTAAACTTTGCTACTCTGTTACTTTCACTCTGTCGGTTCTCCGGGTGGACTGTTTTACACCTCTCACAACTCCATGTTCTCGGCCTCTAGTTTTATGTGTTGTGTTTTATTACTCTGCATGCACTCTATCCAAGTAGTAGGTTGCCTGTGGACATTTGTGCAAGATTCACTAGCTTGGGGAAATCATTCATTTTTCTGAGTGACAAAAATGTAACACCGTAGGTGAACTTTAAATGTCTTCTGCCCTGATTCCCACAAAAGAAAGGAGTAACCAGCATGCATTTATTATACGATGTATTGATCACCTGAGAGAGCTTTTGCTCATCCCGTCTTTGTATTTTGCTGTGGAATATGGGATCTTCTGATCTGTTTTGCCCCCTCGGGTGTGCATCCTTTCCCTGGTCTCTGCTCCTCAGGTATATTCCCCCCCCCCTCTTTTCAGCAGAGAATAGTATTTTAAAAAATCATGGCTTGTTGACTGAGTTCCCAGCTTCTTGCAGCTTCTTGCTGAGAGTGCCAGGATTAAAATTCTAGCTGCATTATGTTCTCTCTAGTAAGGTTTCTCTACTACATCTGTGTCTCTCTTATAAAAACCAACCAACAACCCTGCCTTTTTAAATGGTGATTAATATGCAAGAATGATGGCAAAGCAGAAATACCCTTAAGCCTTTTGAAATAATCTTTAACCAGACTACATGCACTATGTTATGTTGAGTCATAGAAAGGATGAGTACTTGGGAAAATATGCAGAGGTTTCCCTTTATTGAAAGTACTCTCTATGTGGAAGCCAAAGGGAGATCATATGGTTTCTGTCTATGTATTCCCCCCCCCCAAGAGTCTTTGGAACAGAGTTTTTCTTTAAAAAAAACACTGCTTAATATTTTGGTGGTTTGAGAATATTTTGAAAATTAAGGTGTTTCAAAAGTGGAATTACATTATTTTTTTCCATTCTAGCTTTAAACATCAACTTTGGGTTTTATTTTATTCCTGCATAGTTTACCTGGGGAACAGTCAGTAGAAGAGGCTAAGAGCTGAGAGAATCTGTTAATGAATAATGAAACTTTGAGTAGAATGTGGAATGGAAAAGGTCTGTGTTTGTACTTGGGGACAAAATAAGCAGGCCCAATATGAATAGGAGGAAATGGAGGGAGGGGTCACACGTGAAGACGAGGCCGGGCGTCAGTAGTGTTCATAACCATATTAAGCAGAAACAACACTAAACTGAGATCTCTTTCCTATGTCCCTCTTTCAGACTGAGCAGAGTTGCCACCGGACAAGTTGTAGTGACACTCCCAGGAACACTTCAGGTAGGAGACTAATGCAGCCGCCACCCCCACTCCCCCACGGATCTTCTTTGCCTCTTGACCTACCAGCCAATAGCACTTTATGGTTGTTGCCACCGCGTGCCCTCTTGTGTGCCCTCTGCCATTAAGGAGGGAACTGGGGGGGGAGGGGGGCTTGTGTGAGTTCTCCCTGGTCCCGTTATGAAAAAACCCTCTCCTCTGCTGGAATGGGCAAGAGAGTCCTCCTCGCACACATTCTTGTAGTGCCCGGCCTCCTTCAAAACTCTGCACAGCGACAAGTGAGCACACTGGAACAGGCTTCGGGGGTGATGAGACTGCTGCTCCTGAGTCAGCAGAAGGGGGTCTTTCCTCCCCTTTAGAAAGTTAAAAGGCAGTTCATGCTGATGAGAAAATCTGAGAGCCAGTTTGGTGTAGTGGTTAAGTTGCACGGACTCTAATCTGGGAGAACTGGGTTTGATTCCCCACTCCTCCACTTGCACCTGGCTGGATGACCTTGGGTCAATCAAAAGCTCTGGCACAGCTGTTCCTGAAAGAGCACTTTCTGTCATAGCTCCCTCAGCCCCACCCACCTCACAGGGTGTCTGTTGTGGGGAGGGGGAGGGAAAGGAGTTTGTAAGCCGCTCTGAGACTCCAAGTGAAGGGCGGGGTATAAATCCAATCTCTTCTTCTTCTAAATTCCTCCACTTCTTCCTCCACTTGCACCTGCTGATGTGACCTTGGGTCAGTCACAAGCTCTGGCACAGCTGTTCCTGAAAGAGCAGCTTGTGTCAGAGTTCTCTCAGCCCCGCCCACCTCACAGGGTGTCTGTTGTGGGGAGGGGGAGGGAAAGGAGTTTGTAAGCCGCTCTGAGACTCCAAGTGAAGGGCATGGGGAATAAATCCAATCTCTTCTTCTTCTAAATTCCTCCACTTCTTCCTCCACTTGCACCTGCTGATGTGACCTTGGGTCAGTCACAAGCTCTGGCACAGCTGTTCCTGAAAGAGCCATTTCTGTCAGAGCTCTCTCAGCCCCACCTACCTCACAGGGTGTCTGTTGTGGAGAGGGGGGAGGGAAAGGAGTTTGGAAGCCGCTCTGAGACTCCAAGTGAAGGGCATGGGGAATAAATCCAATCTCTTCTTCTTCTAAATTTTTAGTAGTCTGATGCTACTAGTCTTAAACACACACAATTCCGAGAGCTAGATTTTCACTTCCCTGTTCCCTTGGGCAGGACTTGAGCAGTCAGAGCAAAACTTCCCTATGTAAATTTACACATTCTTGCAGGCAAAACTAGTGGAAGTGGTTGTTAGTGAATTCCAGTATAGTTTGTCTGTACTAGTGCATTTTTTTCTGGGCCTGGGAGTTCCCAGGCACTGCGGACTGGTGGAAGCAACCTCTGGCCGCCTGTAGCAGAGAGAGAAGCACCCTTCTGCGAGGGGCCTCTCCTTTCCATAATGGGACTATCTAGAAAGAATTTCCCAAGAAGATACAAAAAGTCTCCATGCATGCAGTAAGTGCATAATTGCCAGAGGTACATATTATGGACAGCTTGTGTTTCATCCACATATTCTACAAGTCAGGGCGGTGAGCTTCTTGTGTAGCAGGAGAATAGAGGGGGTGGATGAAGAATCTGGAAAATACTGAAGCTCGTTTGGCCCATATAACTAGACCAAAAAGGTTTTGCTGTAATTTTATTCGCATATTTGAATTAAAATAAGTAAGCCCTTTTAAATGTCCTGGAAAGCTTTCTAGCTTTAGTGATCTTTCCCTTAAAAGCCATTTAAACTTTCCACCAGTGAAATACTCTGTTAATTTTATCCACTTCCTGCTTGATGTTATGAAACTGCCTTCATGAAGGGTGTGGACTCTGTTTCTCTGCGGAATACGATCAGTGACTCATTGTGCTGTGGGAGCTCAGCTGGCTAATCTGTACTAAGCTCTTTCAAAAGGTAGAGAGAGACCCGGCCCTGTGGAATCTGGTGCCCTGAACATGTCTACTCTTGGAGGCTTCTGCCTTCTGTTTCTGCATTTTGCTTTTTCTAAAGGGTGTGTCTGGCCCTCTTCCTTATGAAAGTGGCGGGGAGGGGGATGTGAGCAGCATTCTACCCAATCCCTCAGCAAGGAAGAGGTAAATCTGCTGGTTTTTCTTTCCTTTCAGAGCCAAATTAACTTGTTGGGTATCTGTGACCAGATCTTCTGAAGTGTGTTTCAGCCAAAACAAAGAAACTGCAGGGTGGTGGCAGTTTGAATCAGGGCTCTGGCTGCTGGCAGGGGTGGGTGGGTGGGTGTTAACCTTTTCCTCCTTTGCCGTTTCCCTAGTAGCAGTTGCCCCCTGCAACTGATGTTGAGTAAAGGGATGTGCAGTCATGGAGTCCCAGCGTAATGTGGAGTTTGACCTTCAGTGTTCTGAGCAGTGAGTGCTATAAAAAAGATTTTCCTGGTCAGAAATTCGAGCGCCTGTGTGCCAAAGCATGTGGGCAAATTTTTAAGAAGTCCCAAATGATTAGATATTTAAAATAAAATAAATCAATCAATAATGGAGAGAGAAAAATCAATCCCCGGGTTTAGATGATACATACAGGTTGCTAACTTCAAGAGCAGAAAGAATAAATTCACTCAGAGAATAAACTCCTATAGTCCAACTAATACTGTAAAGTTCCACTCTTCCATCTGGTAATATGTAGTTATTTGACATAGACAGAATTACCTCCACACACTCGCCAATGCCATCCTGGCATCCTAACAGGCAAAGGTCCAAGTGAAAGGTGGTGGCCCTGCTGCCTACCAACGTCTAAAGGCACCATCACCCCCCAGCTACAACCAGTTCAGAATAATTAGCGTTCAACCGGTGCTCCCTCCAGGCTATGGAGTCATGTGAGCAAAAATTCTACTTTGTGAGCTCCTGGCATTAGAGTTGTGAGTGGGCGATTTTGGCTAATGCATACATTACTTTGCTCTGGAGCCCTCCTTCCTGAGCTAAGGCAAAAATGCGTGAGCCGGAGGCTAAAAAACTGTGAGCTATCTCACACTCACTCAGCTTAGAGGGAACACTGCACTCAATTCAGAATAATTAGCACTCAACGTTCTGTTAATATGAAAATCTTCCACCTGAATCCTGTTCCTCTCTTCTCCTCAGAATGGAACTCCCCTCGCGTGGAGCTAAGACAAGGCAGGCCCAAAGGCCCACGGGTGCTACCACTGCTGTTCTATAAGAAAGCAAATACTAACTGACCACGGAGAGGGAGGGTTAGCTGTTCCTTGCATGCCGGTGTTGGATGTCATGATAGAATGGGCAGTGCGGCAGGATGTTTCAACAGGCTCTGCTTTCCCTGTATGACATGGACACAGCCGCTGAGAGAGTGGGACACAATGATATCTGCCTTGCAGGAGGGCTGAAGGGCATGCCAGGGTAAAGGTTCTCCGACACTCGGAGGTCTCAAGGGATCTAAGATAACCTGCTGGTGGAAAACATTTGGCATGCTGCAGAATAACTGGATATTGCTTGATCAAAAGTGCCCTATCTGATTGTAGGGCATGGACCCAGAACCGCTGTTTGATAACCCAGGATGCAGTAAAACTTGAGGGGAGAGGCCGTTCTCCTGGAGTTTCCCCTCAGCTGCTCGTAACCAGGTTGAGCAGTAGCTGTCAGCAAAACCCAAGGGGGCCAGAGCCACCGGACTGAAGTGAGTTTTAGCCAGTAGGTGGAAGCCAGTAGCCGCACGCGTCCCTCCAGGGAAGCCTCTAGTCTGAGAAGGGCATTTGGAATACATTGTGGGACTCCGAAAATGGGTCGTAGGACCTTAGACTGTGCCACTTCCAGTAGTCACCTTTGGGTGAGCGCCTTCCCTTGGAAAACCTTGGTTGCTGCAGGGCGAAAGGAGGCCCCTTTTGTGAAGTGGGATCTTGTAATGAGCGAGGTTGCTCTGTGGGCGGTCTCTGCTGTGGGCAGTGCCTGAGGCTCTCTGGGGTCCAGGTGACTGGGAGACTATGCCAAGGCATTTGAGGATTTCTGTTTGTTCAGTGCTGTGGCCCTCAGTTTGCCATCTAAGGTTTCAATGTTTTTTGATAAAGAGGAGGACTTTTGTTTTTTGGTAGTTGGTCACCAGCTGCTCTCCCGAGGCCCACTTGTGAAGAACATAGGATAATAGTTTTGTCTGCGTATAGTGAGGCAGGGTTTGGAGAAGGGGAGCTTGGATTTCTCAGGTGTTGCACCGAGGAGTTGATGTAATAGTTGAAAAGTAGAGGGGCCAGGATGCAACCCTGTTTAACTCCTTTGCCATGTGGGATCTTATTGGAGAGTTGGCCTTGAGGAATGCATCTTGCTTTTAGGAAATGTCCTTCATACAGTGAGCGGATAAGTAGGTAGAGTCTTCGGTCTATTGAGGAGTTCTCAAGCTTTGCCCAAAGCCTATTCCTAGGGATACAGGCTCTCAGGCTCCCAGTAAAACCACTCTTCAACCAATATCACTTAAAAGGTTCATTGGAAAGATTTGGTTAACCGTAGAGATGAATGCCCTTGTTAGGACTAGCGAGTCCAGGGTGGGAGATGGGAAGTAAAGGTGAGCGCCCACATTCCATGCATACTTCATACACACCAGCCCACTACGGTTCTGATAGGGCTAGCTATTCCCAAACTCTTATCATCGTCCAAGGTCACTCCCATGAGAAAACCCAGTTGCTCCTTGGGGGCTGTTGCTTCAAGAAGAGTTACAATCATGCTGCAGCCCTAAACCACAACAATCGTTTGTTCGCCCCCCCCCCCCGCGGAATCTCATGTCAGAGAGGGCATGAGACAGGAAAGGAAAGACAGAAGGCAGATGTCCCCTGCAAGCAAGGTTACAAAAGCGAAACTGGCATCAGTGATACATCAGCAATAAACACCCCTTTATGCCCGAGTCTGACAACTGCACTTGCTCAATTTGGTGACCATTTAGAATCCAAGTGAATTTGGATATTTTAGAAGGGACACACTTCTGAAATACCAAAATCGTAGACTGAGAATATTTTACTACGAGGTGGTTCTCTTTACAGAAGTCTGCCTTAGCGTACAGTGCTTTTGTCCCACTCTGGTGCAGGACAAAAACTAAAGCATCATCTGCAAAAAGCAGACCAAAAATGGGATGAAAATTCAATTTATAATCTAGAATAAGAGAGAGAAATTTGCTGAGAATCAAATATATGTTCAACAGAAACCTTGTTATTTGCCATTTGGTGAGATCTGTGAGTGATTTTAATGACAGCAGGCCTACTGATCAAATCATGGAAGTAGACGAGTCCCCTCCACCGACTGATTTGAATGTTTCACTGAAACTTCATTTAACTAGTTACGACGATTCATTTGAAGAAGCCCTTTTGAGGTCTTATAAAGCCTTGCCTGTGATGGATCAGGACCGTAGCATAGTTTGCTTGGATTCCTTGTGATGGAAGTTTGAATCTTTATGTGATAAACATGATGTGCACTGTGGCGAAACGGGGACCCGCCCTCAGCCCTGGGAGACTGAGCATCTGTTCTGTGGCTCACAAGCCCCTGTTTTTGCCTTCCCACTCTTCCTGGTGGGGCTATTTCCCTTTGTTACATGCTGCCACCACTCACTGAATGGACACCACCTTCCTAGAGGGACAGTGAAACCCCTCTGGCTGATTCCCCAACCGTAGGAAGTTAGTACCACACTCTTTGGGCGCCCCCTGGAGAGTTGGCAACCCCTCTGAATTTGGCCTGTTTGTGTTCCCTAGCCTCCCTTTTACCCTGGTAACATGCTGAGCGGGGAGGACGAGGTGGTCAAGGCACACCAAGTCTTTAACTCAAAAAGGTTTATTTTAACTATGTAAACACAAGCACCTGGAGATCTCCAGCTACTACAACTGATCTTCAGATTACTAAGATCAGTTTTCCTGGAGAAAATGGCTGCTTCAGGCAGTGGACTGTATAGCATACCCTGCTGAGGTCTCTCCCCACCCCAAACCCTCCCCTCCCCAGGCTCTACCCCTCAAATCTACAGGTATTTCCCCACCCAGAGTTGGCCCCCCCAACCACTAGGCAGGGATGTCAGTACCAGCAGAATGTCATTGGCTTTCTCACTAGGCTTCCCAGTTGCCCAGGCCTAGTGGGGAATTCCTCATCCTCCCACCTCTGAGAAACTGAGTGTGGGGGGGGAGAATGGCCTCCATAGGGTTGCTCTAGGAGTTTCCTCTTGCAGGTAGCTAGTTGTCAGGCTCCTTAGTCAGGTCACTCCACACAGGGCTTCATAAGAAGATAAGTGTTTGTTAGAGGTTCCAGTACCAAAGAAGTCATATACAGCTTGTGTCAGGAATAGCCGTCAGTATAAGGGCCTCTTGCTCTGGCTTTGGGCAAACAGTGTCAATTTGCTGTGGTGACCTCAGCAGGGTATAATGACAGAGTCCACTGTTTTCTCCAGAGGAACTGATCTCTGCTACCTGAAGAGCAGTTGTAATTGTGAGTGATCTGTAGCCCTCACCTGGAGATTGGCAGCTATTGTTACCCAGGACAAAGTGGCTGGTTTGAAGGGTGTAGTCTGTGGCATTCTACCTGTCTGAGGTCCCACCCCTCTGCAAACCCCACCCTCTCCAGGCTCCACCCCTCAAATCCCCAGGAATTTGTCAGCATGTAGTTGGCAACCCCATCTCCTTCCCAGCTAGCCACCAACCTACCATTATCTGCCCCTTTGACTTCAGCTGACTTCTGCCCTCCCTTCTGCAGAGCAGTTGTAATACTGAGTGCTCTCCAGCCCTCACCTGGAGATTGGCAACAATGGTTCCCTATGTGGGACTGACTGGTTTGGAGGGTGGAGTCTATGGCAGTGTACCTGTCTGAGGTCTCACCCCTCCTCAAACCTCACCCTCTTCAGGCTCCATCCCTCAAATCTCCAGGAATTTCCCATCTGGAATTGGCAACTCTATCAGGAGTGGCCCCAATGTGTTTTCTCCCAAAGGTCAAAGTAGGTGACAGGACCAAGCTTAGTTGCCTACCAACAGGCACTGAGGGGAATGTAGGGTTGCCAGCTCTAAGGAGGGAAATACCTGGAGGTTTGGGGGGTGGATTCTGTAGAGGGCCGGGCGACGGAGGCATCGGCCTTCTGTCGCCCGCCTTGCCCCCCCAATCTCGGCC